AACAGTAAGAAAGGTTAATAATGTATGATTATGAAAATAACTTAGACCCCCTTGAGAACTGCTGCCCTGACAGTACAGCTCATGGCCACAGCTCCTTTCAGAGCATGGCAGCAGCTCCATAACCCTGGAGCCAGCCAAATGTCATTTGTATAAATGTTTCTGAAGCTCCATAAAAGCTAAGATTCTTCAGAATACTTCTTCTGACTCTTCTTCAGGAGCACAAGGCCAAAAAAAGAATGATCCGAAGCAGAGACTATTAATTAAATTTACGGTGCACCTCTCCAAGCCAGTCCTATATGGTAATGACACAGAGGAAGAGCACTAGGAAAGCAAGCTCAAGGGTAGTAACGGCCAGTAAACCCTGGCAGGCAAGAACCGTGGAGCCAGAGCCAGGTGTGCCTGCTTGGGACGCAGAGGATGCAGGGCTGCGGCAGATCTAAACGACTAAGGACCTGAGAGAAGCCACAGCATGTGGTTGGAGAGAAAGACATGGCCTTAGGATAGATAGTGGGCAGCTTCAACCTTAGTGTTTTCTCAGGCTCTGTCAAAAGGAATCTAGAAACAAAGAAGTTATAAACAAGGCCAGTGCTGTGGCTCACATCTATAATCCCAGCACTTTAGAGACCAAGGTTGGGGGGATTGCTTGAGCTCAGGAGTTTGAGAACAACTTGTACAACACAGCAACATTTGCATTGCTATAAAAAAAAAAAAAAGAAAGAAAGAAAATTAGCTGGGCATGGTGGTGTGCACCTATAGTCCCAGAGACTTGGGAGGCTGAAGTGGAAAGATCACTTTAACTCAGGAGTTTGAAGCTACTATGAGCTATAATCATGCCACTGTAGTCATGCCTGGGCAACAAAATGAGACTTCCTGTCTCTAAAAAAGTAAAAGTAAACAAAATCCAAACAAATACTCTGTGAAAGCTATGTTCAACCAAGGGCAGGAGGAATAACAACAAATAGCAATTGCTCAGCCTGGTTGCATCTAAATTAAAAATGAGATTATTATTTTTTTTTTTGGTAGAGACAGAGTCTCACTTTTTGGTAGAGTGCCGTGGCGTCACACAGCTCATAGTAACCTCCAAGTCCTGGGCTTAGGCGATTCTTTTGCCTCCGCCTCCTGAGTAGCTGGGACTACAGGTGCCCACCATAACGCCCAGATATTTTTTGTTGCAGTTTGGCTGGGGCCGGGTTTGAACCCGCCACCCTTAGGTATATGGGGCTGGCATCCTATCCACTGAGCCACAGATGCTGCCCTAAAAATGAGATTCTTAAGCCCAAGTTACTGTCAGTGCAATGCAGTGAGTCAGTGGAATAATAAACCTAAGAACAAGAGTGAGAATGTCAGACATCCAGCAAAATGTTTTCAAATACAACAGGAGATATTACTGCTGGTCTATGTTTTCCTTTGCCACTGGGATGAGCTAGATGTCAGAAGGGGTACAAAAGAGCACAGAGGATCAACAGGCCCAGTGAGCTCGGTGCCAGCAGTTGGCAGCAAGCTCACTCCAGCGCACCTGCACTGCCTCATAGGACAAGGCCTCACTGTAGTCACACCTGAGGTTGGCCTGCCAGCACAGAGTGCTATTCCTGAGATTTCTCTGCAGAGGGGACTTCAGTTGTGGACACATGGCTGCCTATACTCTGGGAACGTCACAAGCCACAACCATTTTTCAGACTACAGAGTAATACTCAAGCCGGGCGTGGTGGCTCATGCCTGTAATCCTAGCACTCTAGGAAGCCGGGAGGGTGGACTGCCCTGAGCTCAGAGGTTCGAGACCAGCCTGAGAAAGAGCGAGACCCCCCCATCTCTAAAAATACTCATTGTGGTGGGCGCCTGTAGTCCCAGCTATTGGAAGGATGAGACAAGAGAATCTCTTGAGCCCAAGAGTTTGAGGTTGCTGTGAGATATGATGCCAAGGCACTCTACCAGGGGTAAAAAGTGAGACTCTGTCTCAAAAAAAAAGAAAAAATAATAATAATAGTAATACTCAAAAGCATCCCATAGCCCAAATCAATTCAGAAAAAAGAACATGAAGTGAGAAGACACTCCTAAGCTACACTGTCCCCCTTTTGGAGCTTATAATGCTTGCTGCTGAGAAATGGGTGCTTCCTTACCAGCCATCCTCCTAAGAACAGGGGGGTGTAAGCCCTGGTCTGCCTATGGGACTTCCTGCTTTTACATTCATTCTCCAGCGAAGAGGTCCCATGCTGTCACCTGGTGGAAAAAACAAGCAACTGCCTCATGTGTGAGGACTAAAGCACCCTGCTCCATAAAGTTTCTCTTTACTACAGATACTGGAGGACAGGCCTGACCCCATCTCTGCCTCATCTGCTGTGCTATTTACTCCAGGCAAGGCACTTTACTAAGATCCTCAGCTAATGACCAACCTCAGCTGGAGTTAATGGTCACGGACATGGTTACTCACCACAGCCACCCCCTACCCAGACCACTAAAGCAAGACACAGAAGGTCAAGAGCAGAGAGTCAGAGAGATGAAGCGGGAAGAAGGGAGGGAGGAAGGGCCAGAGAACTGACAAAGGTGGCAGGATGGAGCCAAGAAGGAAAATGGAGATAAAGCCTCACCAACCGAAAACACTGCCTCTGGGTTTCTTAACATTTTCACAGAAAAAACCCACAAAGGTGAATTTGGAAATACTGAAGCATGTAAGAGGAAAAAGTTAAAAGGTTGCATTACATTATATTAACATAAGAAAAAACAGGCCGTGTGGAGTGGCTCGTGCCTGCAATCCTACCACTCTGGGAGGCCAAATGGGTAGACTGCTTGAGTTCAGGAGTTCAAGACCAGCCTGAGCAAGAGTGGAACCCCCATCTAAAAATAGCCAGGCATTGTGGCAGGCACCTGTAGTCCCAGCTACTTGGCAGGCTGAGGCAAGGTAATCGCATGAGCCCTAGAGTTTGAGGTTGCTATGAGCTGCTACTGAGGGTGACAGAGTGAGACTCTGTCTCTAAATAAACAAATAAAAGAAAAATCCTAGTCACTAAGTTACAAAAATCATAAAACTATCTTTTAACATAACACAGATAAGCTTGGTGCCTGTAGCTCAGTGGTTAGGACACCGGCCACATACACTGAAGCTGGCAGGTTCAAGCTGACCCAAGCCTGCTACACAACAATAACTGCAAAAAAATAAACAAACAAAAAACATAACATGGATAGAAACGGGAAAGAAGACAAGAATGTCGGCTCGGCGCCTATAGCTCAACCAGCTAAGGCGCCAGCCACGTACACCTAAGGTGGCGGGTTCGAATCCCCAGCCCGGACCCGCCAAACAACAATGACGGCTGCAACCAAAAAATAGCCTGGCGTTGTGGCGGGCGCCTGTGGTCCCAGCTACTTGGGAGGCTGAGGCAGGAGACTCGCTTGAGCCCAGGAGTTGGAGGTTGCTGTGAGCTGTAATGCCACGGCACTCTACCCAGGGGGACAGTTTGAGGCTCTGTCTCAAAAAAAAAAAAAAGAAGACAAGAATGTCTCCCAATTATTCTCAAAAGGTAGATTTTTTTTTAACCTTGGGTTTTTGTGTTTATGGCAAGATGCTTTATTAAAATTTTAACTTTAATTTTATTTTTGTATTTCCTCTACCCCATTCCAGGAAAGGCACACAGCCAGACTAAAAACAAAGGCTTTCTGCAGACGACAATGCTCCAGTTTAAATTCACTGACAAGAATTTATCACAGAGGATATTCCAGAGGGAAAAGAACGGAATCCAGCGCCTTTGAAATTTTAAATGAGAAAACAAAAGTGAAGGGCTATTTCTCAGGAGTAGGAAAAAAACATAAGGAGGCACGAGCCTCACTCAAGAAGCTGGGTAGGCCTTGGGAGACAGGACTCAGCCTGAGCGGGGCTCCCCGCCTAGGCAAGTCCCCTCTGCCTACCGCCCTAAAAGCTACCTAGAAGCAGGAGAGTTACACGAATGCAGACAGCAAGCATGCAAGTCACTATTCCAGGCCCCAACTGGAGAGATCTTCCAGAATACTGTGCTTCTAAGTAAGAACCCAGGGATCTTACCTGAACCTGGTAAAGCCCTGAAATCATGTTTAATTCAATTTAAAGAAATGATGTGATATTAGTTATATATCAACTTTGTGAAATAAGATTTATAGTCACTATATGTTTTCCAAATACCCAAGGATAAATCCATATTACCTTTACAATCAAAAAAAGGTCAGCAACAAAACTTTATTAACCAAAAAAATATATCCTGCTTCTTTTTATTATTGGTAACCAATGATGTGCCATAAAGAATGTTAATATCAGTATTAGGAGTATGACTTCATGGATCCAGAGGCAGCTCTGGCCTTCCACGGAACCCTGCTCCTCAAAGCTCTGTGGCATCTGAGCCACGGCACCCTGTGGTAGTGGGCATTATTCAAATAAGCCCAGAAACACACAAAACATTTTCTTTGCAGCTTCTTTTCTACCATAAGAGGCATGGTTGCACAATCAAGGAGACGGAGAAGACTTACAACGGTAGGACTATTTAAGTATCAGTTTTAGAGGTTCTTTCCGGCATCAGATTCTCATTTTAAATTAATACCGACACATCTATTTTGAAAGTGTGTTAAATCAGCAGGAAGGGCTGCTTTACACATAGCCATCTCCAATCCATTATACCTCCTGTTCTCACAGGAAAGTGTTATCTGGCCCTTCCAAGACAAGATTTTCTCTTTCTGACTCAGTTTTGAGAAGGTGAAAATCACAATCATGAGTGGAAATGAAATGAATCATCTTAATAAGCAGCATTACCCTTAAGCCTCCTTTACCAGTGACTCTGTTGTATTCAACACCTGCTTCTGCCCACCCCTCACCCCCACCCCACCCCCCCGCAGCCCCTGCTGCTCTTCCAAAGTAGGCCCCTAGAGCTCCTCAGCCTGACTCCCCAGGAAGACACAGTTTTCAGACTCAGCAGGCCTTCCCCCACCTCTTAGCAGCATTCAGAGAAAGCTGAGCAGCACAGTAAGAGCACAAGGGAACTTGCCTTTTCCATCTGTTGCTGATGCTTCTTGTAAATGTCTGATTGACCTAAAAATAAACATTTGGAGAACAAAAGGTTAGCTGACAAATTTGCATTCCTCTCTATTTCCAGCGCTGGTTACTTGAGGCCTTGAATACCTCAATTATAAACTGAAAGGTTGGACCAGATAATTTTAGAAGGCACCCTCCCTAAAAAACAGGAGACCTTTGATAATCAACACTTCACCATGTATGGTGCTCAAGTTTGAGACGCAAAGATGCCCTCTGCTGGCGAACCTGTGACAGTAAATCTGGAAGCCACCAGAATGTGAGGAAATACCAAACACAATCATTTAACACTGCAGAACTCTACCTTATTTCCCATCCCCACATCCAACACTCCTAAAACAAAGAAGCATCACTGAGCTCCACCTGCCAAGGGGACAGAATTCACCCTAGAAGAAAGTCACAGGCTGACTTTTGAAGTCGAGGCCTAGGACCTATGGACATAAGGCTTCCTGAAAACTCATTTCACTGAGTGGAGATTTATAACTGCTAAAAAATGCCAGCCTCCAAGAAGTCTATTTTTCTGGCTATGATGTGCCAGTAACTGATTACTATGATCACAGTTTAGGCAGGAGAACATTAGTATTATTCAAAAGCTGCAGATCAGAGTTCTAAGGACAGTTTAAAGCCACCAAAGGATAATAAACTGCCCTAAAGGGTGAGCAGGGTACAGGCAGACAGGGCTGTGCCAGGGAAGGCCGCCAGGTTCTGACACTGTCACTCGTGTAAACAAAAGAAATCACTTGTAAAGCCTCAGGAGTTTGCCCACCTATGAGAGGAGCTGTTTACTTGAGAAATGATTACAGCAACCTGCAAAGCTAACCAGTACAAAGATGGCCCTTAACCCATGCTAGCTGAACAGGAATTTTACCATGTTACTGATGCTATTTCTTAAATCACTTCTCTAATACTTACTGATCTTTTTCTTTATTTTATAGTAACTTTCAGGACACTATTACTTTAAGAAATCTTGCCATCTGGCATCTTCTCATTGGTGCTGTAATAAACAGGTGGCAGGAAATGGCCACTTGTACCTCCCTGGCTTGTGTGGATTCCTCATGTTTGTTCTAATAGTAGCCTAAGTGAGAGTGGGGTCTTCACCTCTGCTCCCCAGTAAGATGCTTTTTTCTATCTGGAGACAATGTTGGCCAACTTAGGTTACAGATGCCTCAGTTACTTCTTCCTGAGCAGGATGATGGAAGGTTGTGGTGACTAAAAAGACTTATTAGGGCTGGGCACAGTGGCTCACACCTATAACTTCTGAGAGGACGAGGCAGGTGGACTGCTTGAGCTCAAGAGTTCAAGACCAACCCAAGTAAGAGTGAGACCCTGTCAGTACTAAAAATAGAAAAACTAGTGGGGTGTTACGACAGATGCTTATAGTCCCAGCAACTGGGGAGGCTGAGGCAAGAGGATCATTTGAGCCCAGGAGTTTGAGGTTGCTATAAGCTAGGCTCACACCACGGTACTCTAGCCTGGGTAACAAGAGTGAGACTCTTAAAAAAAGAAAAAAAAAAAGAAAGAAAACTCATTAGTACTTTCTCTTCTACACGCCGGTAACTGTGTACACAAACTGATACAAATCATGTGTGAAGTACAATGGAGTTATGGTAAGGAGTTAATTTGACTGGCTGGAATGAGGACTACACCCCATTGGCACCATGTTCCAAATGATCAGAGTAATCGACTAACTACAGGATCTCAAAAAATATTAATTTGCTGCATGGGGCATTGTAATAAGAAGCATCTCATTTCTAATAGAAGGCAGGCAAATCTATTTCTTTAAACTTTATTTCAAAACAATTACATCATTGTGGCAGGCCCCTGTAGTCCCAGCTATTTAGGAGGCTAAGGCAGGAGAATCACCTAAACCCAGGAGGTGGAGGTTGCTATGAACTATGACTCCAAAGCACTCTACCAAGGGCAATAAAATGAGACTCTGTCTCTAAAAAAAAAAAAATAAAATCAAAAGAATTACATTCAAAAAGCCACAAAACTTGGCTTGGGGCCCATAGCTCAGTGAATAGGGCGCCAGCCACATACAACGAAAGTGACAGGTTCGAGCCCTGCCCACGCCTGCTAAACAATGACAACTGCAACCAAAAAATAGCCCAGAGTTGCAGCGGGCGCCTGTACTCCCAGCTATTTGGGAGGCTGAGGCAAGGGAATCGTTTAAGCCAAAGCATTTGAGGTTGCTGTGAACGATGACACCACGACACTCTACCAAGGGCAACATAATGAAAACTCGTCTCAAAAAAAAAAAAAAGAAAGAAAAAGCCACAAAACTACTAGATTATTAAGGGTGAAGTAGGGGTTTTATTTTTTACTACACTTCTTTCCTCTAATCACTTTCCATGTGATTTAATAAGGGTATTCTTTCTCATCAACCACTGACTTCACACTAATGCCTCTTTCCACACAATCGAAGCATAATCTATGCATCTCCATTGCCATATGCAGGAACAGAGCAAACCGGTCTAAAGATACTCCGTGCTAAGAACTGTCACTGGTTTTGTTAATGTCCTTCCTCATTTTCCATGTAACCTAGCAAGAAATGGCTCCTTATGGGATTTCTTCGGTTCTCTTCCCCCTAAATTCAGGCTGCCATCTTTTGTTGCTACTAAGTTCTCCTTTCCCAACTCTTCTCGACTGTCTTAGAACTGTGCCCAGTGTTTTTTGTTTTCTACCCTTTTCTGGCATTCAAGATGAAGAAGTGAAGACATTATGAGTCCTTTAGTGCAAAATTCCAGATTTTCCTGGATTTTCTGGCAGGAGCCATGATCAATTGTGCTGATAACACAAAAGCTGAAAATCTGCATATCATCTCTATGAAGGAGATCAAGGGACAAATGAACAGAACCCCCACTGCTGGTGTGGGTTACATGGTAATGGCCACGATCAAGAAAGGCAAACCAGGGCTTGGAGAAAGAAGGTACATCCACCAGTGGTAACTCAGTCGTGAAAGTCATACTGGAGAAAGATAACATAGGGGTCACAGTAAACAATAAAGGCAAGATGGAAGGTTCTGGCATTACGGGACCAACTGTAAAGGAGTATGCAGCAGACTTGTGGCCCAGGATGGCATATGATGTTGGCAGCATTGCATGATTCTCCTCCAGAATATTTGTAAAAGAAAGTTTAAAAGGTTTTGCCCCCACACCTCACAAGAGAACTGTGCTACATGCCAGCCCAGGGTGCCAGACTAATCTACCAGAAGGCCCTGGGGAACTGATAAAGAGACAGGGGCCACCCCTTGTGGCTGATCCAGATCAGTCAGGGACCCAGAAAGCTGTACTTTTATTTATTTATTTATTTTTGAGACAAGAGTCTTTCTATGTCGTCCTAAGTAGATTGCCATGGTGTCACAGCTCACAGCAACTTCAAACTCTTGGGCTTAAGTGATTCTCTTGCCTTGGTCTCCCATGTAGCCGGGACTACAGGTACCCACCACAACGCCTAGCTATTTCTTTTCTTTCTTTTTTTTGGTTGTAGTTGTCATTATTGTTTAGCAAGCCTGGGTAGGTTCGAACCTGCCAGCCCTAGGTGCATGTGGCTGGTGTCCTAACCATTGAGATTCAGGGCACTGAGCCAAAACCGTACTTTTAAAACACGTCCTATATGATTCAGATCAATTTGGGAACGGCCTGTTCAGCCGTTGGGCTTGACAGCCAAGCTGTGTCATCATTCACCCTCCCCCTTGGGGGTTACTCACCATACCACTGGGAAGAGGATGGCTCCACAGCACAGCAGGTCAACCAGAAACAGGGAGTCCTTCCACAAGCCGTACTCAGTCGTCCCCTCCTCAGTGGATTCTATGATGATGTAGGCTACATTGGCCAGGACCTGTAGGACACAAGAAGTTCCTGAGGCCCCAAATCATGGGTTGATTGTCACAATGACAGCAGACCCAATGTAGGTATACTTATAGATCCCAAACCTATAGCCACAGTATGAGTTCCAGTCACATATACTCTTTCATTTACTTGCAAGTTTCTCTTAACAACGGAGTCTCTGTGCCATCCCCTTAAACCTGGGCAGGCTTGTGATTGCTCCAATAGAGTAAGATAGATTTCTGAGGAAGATCTGGCATCTGAGTGGCTTCCGCTCAGGACCTTTGGAACCCTGAGTCTTCTTGAAAGAAGACTGACTACCTGAAAACGCCAAGCTGGAGAGACCATGCACAGACAGAAAGATGCCCAAGGGGCCTGATATTCTAACCTATCTAATCAAGTCTTCGTAGCCCAAGAGACAGATTCAAGTGAAGACTTGGAGATGCTACCAGCCACTGTCAGACTCTGCAATCCCAAGCCAGACCTATCCAATTAAGCCAGTCCCAGACTCCTGACCACAAAAATGGGAAGAGAAAAATTAAAGGTCAGAGTGCTAAGTCACTAAGTTTTCGGGTGATATTTTACATAGCAAGAGATAACCAGGCCACTTTGCTTTTTAGGCACCCTGAGCCCAAGGAGGCATTCAGGTGCTGGACAGGTGGTGCTTTACACCCCATTTAGCCACGATGCCCACACTCCTTAGGCTCAGCTTCTCAAATAATTCTTCTATGTGCCAAATGGGACCATGTGATCAGAGAGCAAAATGGCAAGAATGGCAGTTTCAGCGCTGCAGTTGAGTGGCCACACTGCTGCTCACAGGCATCATTCAAGCCCAGGTCCTCCCTACTCTGGACACGGCACAGTTCTCCCCACTGAGGTTCATCTGCATCCACATACTACACTGTATTCTGTTTGTGGAAACTCACGGATATCATTCACAGTTTTAAAATAATTTGTTAATAAGATCACTGTGTATCTGAGCTTCCTCATTAAGAGCACTATTTTGTCATAGGACAAATGGATGCAGAAGAGAAAGCAGGACTGTGTGTCTCCCGAGCTTCTAGCAGCGCTCTATTTAAAGTGGAGGTATTCACGGCTAGTTTAAGGATGACTAACTGTCAAATGTCTCCCAGTGCAAAGACCTGAAGTCTAGCTCTGTAGGAATTCAGAAAGAGAATACCAATCTTCACCCCCCAATGGCAGAAGCTAGGTTTCTGGGACAGCTGACTCCCTCTTCCCACAGAGGTCTCGAGCTGAGCCCTGATAAATGCCCAGAGAGGAAGTATCAAGCAGGATTAGGGTTCCTTTACCTGGAGTGGGATGACAATCATGAAGATCTTTTTGTCTTTATCGGAAAGGATGTGCTTTATGAAAGCCCAGCCAGTGCCAATGAGTGCGATGGTAATGAACAGCAGTGCCCCTTTCAAACTGGAAGAGAGAACAATGAACACACACCAAGGGGTCTCTTTAGACCAGAGGCTCTCGATCTGTGGGTTGTGACCCACAGGAACTGTGTGTTAAAGGGTTGCAGCATTAGAAAGGTTGAGAACCACTGCTTTAGACAATCACTTGGCCAGTTAAGAGTGCACAGATGATTCTCTGGGGTCACATGCATCCCGTAAAAAACAGGCAGCCAAATTTGAGAAATGCACCATGTTGGCTTGGCCCTTGTAGCACAGTGGTTATGGTGCTAGCCACATGCACTGAGGCTGGTAGGTTCGAGCCCGGCCTAGGCCAACTAAACAACGACAACTGCAAAAAGAAAATAGCTGGGCGTTGTGCTGGGCACCTGTAGTTCCAGCTGCTTGGGAGGCGGAGGCAAGAGACTCATTTAAGCCCAGAAGTTTGAGGTTGCTGTGAGCTCTGATGCCATGGCACTCTACCAAGGGTAGACATAGGGAGACTCTGTCCCCAAAAAAAGGGAAAAAAAAGAAATGTACCATGTGTGCAAAACTTCTTTCAGGGCACACAGTTAGCTCTGTATCTGCTACCAGTACAGCCGATGGTCACAGGGACACAAGAGCAAGCCAACAAGCTCAAATTCTCAAGTCTGGACAGTTACATGTGCACCACATGCCTTTAGTACAGCAAGGGCCCAGACAGCATGCCATGGGGGGCAGGGCCAGTCAACCCAGGGCAGGTCACTATCTAGCCCCGTATTTTTGGTATGCCATTCATGGTAAGATATTTCATGTGTACCCTCATACTTACAGGTGAGTTATATAGTATACAACAGCCCAACCTTCAATAGGAAAGCCCTGGGAGGAGATGTAGTGGTAGTCAATCTGAAATCAAACAATGCATTTCAGAAAGGGTGATCTACTACATGTCTTAAAGCACAGAAAAACATGAAATGACCTCAAAAGACATCAGGTGAGGGGACATCCACTTCACTCCACTGCCTAATGCCTCATGTGACAGTTTACAATTAAGCGAGTAAGGCCAGGTGCAATGGTTCATGCCTGTAATCTTAGCACTCTGGAAGGCCGAGGCTAGTGAATTACCTAAGCTCAAGAGTTTGAGACCAGCCTAAGCCAGAGGGAGACCCCATCTCCAAAAATAGCCGGATGTGAGGCAGGTGCCTGTTGTCCCAGCTACTTGGGAGGCTGAGGCAAGAAAATCACTTGAGCCCAAGAGTTGGAGGTTGCTGTGAGCTATGACACCATGGCACTCTATGGAGGGTGACAAAGTGAGACTGTCTCAAAAACAAAACACAATTAAGCATGTGAGGGCACCAACAAATGTCAGCTTAAGAAACTTGACACAGCCCAGGCCTTTCTCTTGAAGGAAGTGAGTCACTTTGGCAAACAGTTGTCTATTTTCTTAAAAATCTCCATAGGCCAAATGTCCCAAGTCTTATCATTATCCTGGCCAACGACTTTATTTTTCATATTCCTCGTACTTACATAAATATATAAGTCAATCAGCCAATAGAAAAATCTATGTGCAACAGATTCAGCTTCAACTATTTTGTTCTTTTAAAAAAATCTGTAAACTTAGGTGTGGCACCTGTAGCTCAGTGGCTAGGGCACTGGTCACATACACCTGGGCTGGCAGGTTCGAACCTGGCCCAGGTCTGCCAAACAATGACAACTACAACAAAAAAATAACTGAACATTGTGGCGGGAGCATATAGTACCAGCTACTTCAGAGGCTGAGGCAAGAGAATCACTGAAGCCCAAGAGTTTGAGGTTGCTATGAGCTGTGACACCACGGTACTCTACCAAGGGTGACACAGTGAGACTCTGTCTCAAAAAAAAAAAAAAATCTGTAAATTTAGAGCTACTTAAAGCCACCAATGCATTTTAACTTAAGTGGCAAGTTTCAGGAGAGCATCTCAAATGCCTCCTGGCAGAACTAACAAAGCCGATGTCAACTTATCTATCTTTCAATCTATCCAAATGGCCACCTAAATATTAAAGGGACTCAAGGACCCTATTATTCATTATCCATCTAGCTCTAGAAAGCTTCTTTTAACTTAGACCCAAATGGAAAATTTCCAAACAACTGTCAGATCTTGACATTGTAACTGGATACCTACTGCTTTTTCCTAGGACACTTTCAAGGGGAGCAGGAGAGCACATGTTTAGAGACTGTCACCCTCCTCAGTGTGGTCATGGGTGCTTTGTAGGCCCACAGACTAGGAAGTCATAATCTCATCCCCACCAGTAAGTTCATTTCATTCACATGAGTCCTAAACGGTCAAAGGTGAAGTTCAATTCTTATGCCTCCATCAATTTTCTCTCAAATTTTAACTTCAAACTAAGTAGAAACATGGGGGACTATTTGGAAACATGGAAGTCATGGGAACAACTCAGCAGGTGGCACTCTCCTCTCAAGAATGACAAAAACAAAAAAATGAAAACAAGTGTCCTAGAAAAACTGTGGGCCTATAACTAGTATCAAAAGATATCTTAAGTCTAGTGTTAGGGAAGGTGGTAAACATTTACTGTGAGGGCCAGGCCCTCCCAGAGAAAAGGACGCTTCCGAGAAATGTATTCTTCCACTATGTCACAACAATCTATCCCTTTTCTTGTGACTTTTCTGGTTCATATTAAGCATTGTACATCATGTCATGAAGGACCCCCCAAAATGCTAATACATACTGCATGGAACACCAAGGAAAGAGACTTGGTGAAAGGAAGAGCCGCCATCAACCAATGAATTTTAAATACATCATTCCTATAAAACAGAGAGAAAAGAATTAAAAGAAGATCCCATTTTCCCAAAGAATAGTCAAAGCTCTCGGCATTAGTTGTATTTATAAGGACTTAGCAAATATAATATGACCAAACTTCAAATATGAAACCTTTTCTAAAAAGGAGTTTTGGGTCTGGGTGCAGTGTTTACACCTATAATCCAAACTCTCTGGGAGGCAGAGGCAGGAGGATCTGTTGAGCTCAGGAGTTTGAGACCAGCCTAAGCAAGAGCAAGACCCTGTGTCTCTACTAAAAATAGAAAAATTCATTGGGCGTTGTGGCAGGCACCTGTAGTCCCAGCTACTTGGGAGGCTGACGCAGAAGGATTGCTTGAAACTAGGAGTTCAAGGTTGCTGTAAACCAGGCTGATGCCATAGCACTCTAACCTGAGTGACAGTAAGACTCTCTCTCCAAAAACAAGAGGAGATTTTGTTGGTAGAAAAGGCCTGAAATGGAGTCTTACAGCCGTCTCTAACATACAACTTAATCTGGTGAATGGAACTGACAGTTACTCACTGAAGCCAGACAGGCTGGGTTCTGAGTCCTGGCAGGATAGAAATCTAACACAGGCTGCCTGTTTCCTCTCCAGAAATTACCCTGACAAAGCCATAGAGGCAAGAATAAGGCAGACAGATCTGAGAAAACAGTACAGAATCCCTAGGAAAGCAAAATGTGCTTTGCTGTAGCTACAGGGGAAGTGGACAGCCCACAGGAGAGGAGAACTGGGAGCAGGCAACTCCCAGGGATTGTGAGGGAGGTCCTGGGATTGTGCCCCCCTCCCCCAATGACTGGTGGCTGCCAAACATTCCAGGCAAGTGGAATAAAGCACTTACTCACACCCCTCTGCTCCACAGGGACTAGTCTACCTTTGGCCTGCCATACATTAAATTACTCTCTCCTTCCCACTTGTGCCTAAGAATGAACTTAATAGGACATATAAGACAAGTACGGAGGAAAATGGAAAACTATTAATAAAGTACACAAACAGAAACTTGAGTAAGAGCCACAGGGAGAGAACTCACACTCTCAGGTACTTTTAGACATTATGCAAAGCCAGAGCATTGAAAAATGTATAATGGGTGCAGTTTATTTGTTATTCAGACGAATAAATCAATGGAATAGACTAGAGAACTCAGAAATAGATTCATAAGTGTATGGAAGCTTGATATATGATAAGGTGACAGCAAGTTGGAAGGAAAAGGATAGAATGTAATAATTGGCCTGGGGGAAAAATCAGCTTGAACTATATAAAAGAATAAAGCTGGATGTTTACACTTACATAAAAAATTCCAGATGGATTTTAAATCTAAATGTAAAATACACACTTTGTGATCTTAGAGCAGAAATGGGCTTACGATCTAAGAGGCACTGCCTAGGGTGAGCGTGGTGGCTCACACCTGTAAGCCTAGCACTCTGAGAGGTCAAGACAGGCAGATTGCTTGAGCTCAGGAGTTTGAGATTAAGCCCAAGCAAGAGCAGACACCGTCGCTACTAAAAATAGAAAAATTAGCCACGTGTTGTGGCAGGTACTGTTAGGCCACAGGGCAGTAAGGAGGCCCTAAAACAATGAAAACATTCTACCCGCATATCAGACTCTTGCACCTGGAGGCAACACCCTAC